CCAAATCTAAACAGTGATTTCTTACAAAATTTGTTTATATTTCTAAAACTTTCCAATATTATATTTATTTACATTTGAACTAATAAAATATACATAATCCAAAACAAAAAATGACTACAAAGAAAATCAACTACATTTTACTTAATTTTCTGTCAAAAGGGGGAAAATACATATTTTAGTTTTTGACTAAATTGGCTGTGTTACTTATTATTAACAATAGACAGAGAAAAAAAACCAAATTCTTAATTTGAGTTTAAAGAGCTGTAAAAATTAGAATCCCTTTAAGGAATGAGCTTAATATTTTAAAATATACAGCTCAACGCACTTTTAAGCTTACTTTGTTTTTCGCACAAATTAAGGTAACATTGTTGTAATAAAAACTACCATTTTCGAACTGCAGTACAATGGCATAACCCTTCGTAATATTAAATATATAATATCAAGCATAAATGTCTTTTAAAATTATTATCTTAAGTTTCCAAAGTGGATGTTTTAAAGGAAAATTTATAAATGAATGGTAGGATGTTTCGACTACACGATTCTACCATAGGTTTTTAAAAATTGTATAAAACGAGCTTTCCTTGATCCCATGAAGTTTAAATTTTTAAATTTTGTTCTTAAAGACGAGTTAAAAAAAAACTTAGCTCATTTACCATACTTCTCTTGGTTTCGTCGAAATGTAGCACCGGAAATGGATGGTATTGCAAAAGGAAACCATACTTAAGGGTAGGATAATGAAGTATTGTTTATTTTTTTGAATAGTAAATTCCTTCTATGAAAAAGAAAATTCTTCTGCATTTATGGTTTGAAACGTTAAAATTTTGCAGTGGGATGAATCTTACATGGTTCTATATTTTAGAAATTGACTCCACCTCATTAACATCGAAAGCAGTCAATCAGATGAAAAATACTATTACCACTCCGAGTTAAAGAGTCAACATGTACAGAAAATACTAGTTACAGTAGCTGTACTGTACCCATGTCTACGTTTCAACAGCTCTTGTTTTCAAATAAATGTATAAAATGTTACAATTGGCAAGAAACTACAAAAATTCAAATGAGAATAGTTGTTATTTTTCAGTTATGAAAATATCAAAGGTCTACCAATTGATTTGTGTGAATTATGTTTCAGTAAATGAAATAAAAATGATGTAAACAAATACTTTTAAAATGTATTTTGTTGTCTCGATACACAATATTATATCATAATAATGTGACCTTAATTTGTGCGAAAAACCAAGTGCGCTGAGCTGTATAATACATGTACATGTATATTTAGGAAGAAATCAAAGTAAAAGGGCAATTAAATTTGATAGTGGGTTCAATTACTTCAAATATTGTAAAACATATAAACAGTTTTATTGACATAGATATGTGGAGCTGAGACTGAAATAGATTTTCTTTAAAAAAAAGAGCAATGTTGATAGTTCAGTATTAGGATCCAAACTGACAAAGAGGTAAAAAATAAATCGCAGAACATGCTTCCTTCTACGTTATAGTTGTACATGCTTGAAAAGACGTTGAATAAAAATATACATTTTTAATGCATAAAATACCATTCATTATTAGACCATTTAACATGAAAACAAAATCTAAAAAAAAAACCAAAACCAAGTTTTTAGTTATGCACAATATCCTTCAAACTCTTCTACAGTACAGCTATGATAGCAGCATTCGCATACAATATTTGTGTCTCCATTTCGCTTCTTAAAAGGAACATCTTTTGTCCTCTTCATGACATGTGTTACCTCCAAGTCGCCCGAGAGAAATGTGAGTGCTTTCTCCTTGTTCGATAAAAACTTTTTGATGAATGACTTCCAAGGTGAACGTCTTGAGCTTAAAGATGGATGATTGGGTTTAACCCCCTTCCCCACAGTCACGCATTTTAACGCATATACCGTTGCCCCACAATCAAGCATTTTAACGCATATACCTTTACCCCACAATCACGCACTTTAACGCACATTGTGCTTTTTAACGTTTTCTGCCCTGATACCACGTAAAGTTTTGATGATATGACAATAAATGATAAGATAATGATTTTTTTAAATTCCATTCTGATATATTTCGCAAATAAGAATATTTTTCCTCGTTTTAATATGTCCGATTCGTTCGATTTATAAGACGAAACTTGGGGATGCGAGACAAATTAAGAAGGTCTCTCTTTTGACACTAAATAAGCCCACCACTTGAACCACTGGGTTGGTGATCTGGTTGTAACGTCCCTTAATATTGTGTGAGATGGGAACTATGATTCAGAATTTATCAAATTCTACAAATGAATTTTAATGTAAATATTTGATAAAAATGTGTGCAAAAATCGACAGAAAGAATTGATAACATTACAAAAAAAAAAAAAAAAAAAAAAAAAAAAAAAAAAAAAAGAAAGAAGTTATTTCATACTTATACAACTGAAGAGAAAAGAGGTTCTGTTCATAGAATAAAGCTTTGTTTTTAAAATTTACATTTAATCTTATTTCCTGTTCGATTGAAATTCCAATTCGTAAAAATACAATTTTATTGTTTTCGCCTTACACAGCAATAAAAAAACAGACACAATTGGAAAGGGAAAAAAACCAGAGAAACGACAATATCATATTAAAAAAGATGTAGGTTAATTCAAATTTGAATGATTTCATTATCAAGTCAACGTGTCCAATATTTATAAAAAAAAAAAAAAATGTCGTACTTACTCTTATATATTGATTTTCAAAACATATGTTAATGTACATGTATATAAAACAAAGGGAAAATTTTATGCAAGTAAACTATATACTTGTTTGATATTTTTAAAACAGGGCCGGACAAACAATGTTTTTTTTTTATTGCTGTATTAGAGATTTGTTATATCCTCTCTGATTCAGCTGCGAAGGGATAATAAGTTATTCATCAGCTGTTGTGACAGTAAAAAAAATGAAAACAACATCCTTCAATTTATGAACATATATTGTCAAAGGATACAGTCTTAATGTGTTTATCTCTCACTATCTCCCCCTCTCTAATATATGATATGTAATATAAAGTATATATGTACAAGTACAATTGTACTTAATAGCTAGCGAGTCTAGATGTATTAAGTTTTGCTTATTTCGAAACAGTTTGTAAGTTGTAAGTCAAATATTTTTTGTGTCTGAAAGACGTGTACTTAAAAAAGTATTTTTTTTAAATATAAGAACTTAAGTAACAAATCGAGGTAAAAATTACATAATATTACAATGAATAATCTTTTTAAGTAACTTTCACGGAAGCATACTGCAGATATTCCCTTCCTGATCGGGAGGTCCGGTTCGGTTTTCTTTCGTCGCACCGAGTTACATGTAGACCGAAGACGTTAGGAATTAAGTAACTGTTTCTTGGCAAAGATGTCCGTACTATGTAATGTAGAAGTGAAGTCGAGGGTCCTTAGGGTGAGACCTTTAACCCGAGGTGTGTCATGAGGTATTGGCACGATAAAGAACCCGCAGTGTTAAATCGGTCTTAATACCTAGTATACATGTTCAAGAATAAGCGATCAAATCTACAAGTGATATTGACATTTTTTATTTGATTCAGTACATATTTTGAATAATTCCGCAAAGCATGCTCTTATTTTTTTCGTTAAAAAATGAGGCAAAGAATTCTCTGAATCAGCTTGTTCTATTAAATGATTCTGCATTATGAGGTTATCAAAACTATCTTGTAATAATAACAAGAATGTGTGCTAGTATGTCAATATTTAAATCGGCATATATGTTTACCTGTCACTAGGAAGTAAATTACAGATCTCGTTCAAGTCTCACCTGGGTTCTCGTCCTGACATTCCAAAGTCAGCCAGCAGAGTCATTTATAAGTCATTCAGGGGAAAAAGATGTAGGTATGGTTGAAATATTTTATTTACTTAAAATTCATTTCAATGAATTTTGATTTTGCTGATTAACGGATGGTTCGGGATAAATTGAAAAGTTACAAACACCACGCCCATCGAAAACCAAATTTATTTTTTTTTCAATATATTGAGACTGTCTGTCCGTCCAGCTGCCTGGTGGTTCGACTGTTCCTTTGTTTTTTGGTCTGTTTCTCTGCCCGTCTGACTTGTTTTTAAATCCCGCTTTTTTGCGAAATGTTTGCAGAGGTGATCTATTGATGCGTGTCGGGACCTTTAAAAAGTATAGACACAGATCAAGGTAGCATTTATTTTCTTTCTGCAGAAAAAGATTAAAATTCGTGTTCAATCCATAGCAGTCTTACTGAAAAAGTACAAAGTTCATGCTATGCAGATATACCACCTAAACCTTGAGGTGTGTTACAGTAGCGGATCCAGAGGAGGGTGGGGTTACTGGGGTTGCACCCCGCCACCTTTGGATTTGCAAAAAAAAAAAGAAAGAAAAAGAAGAAAGTTCGAATTTTTTTGTTAGTGTTTGTACTATAGAAGATGTTCAATGAAAGGCTAATGTTGTAATGTATAAAGAAATTCAGTTGTGAATACAAAATGAAACCCCACCCTTTTACAAAATAAGATTTTCGGGTTCGGAGATATATTTTCTTGTCTTTTTCAAAAACTTTTCAGGTAATGAATATAAGTACTTTTTCCCGGGTTGATCAACCTCCCATTTTTAAAAACCATACTCCACCCGGTATCCCATTAAATTACGTTTAACTACATGTATGTGTAAAACGTATGTTATATTTACTCTTTTCCCCTTCAACCTCTCCTTTGAAAAATCCCTCACCCCCACCCTCCTTTGAAAAATTTTTAGATCCGCGCCTGTGTTATGATTTTTAATTTTAAGCTAATGTCATTTTGACCAGTTTAATGTTAGCTTCTGATTATTTATCAGTTATTTTCAAATTTTCAATATGTGAAAACATGCACTTTTAAGAATATGGATCTTTACCTGTAATTTGGGAAAAATCTTTTTTCTTCCTCAAATAATCTATAAAAAACTGTACGTATATTCATTACAAATTGAAACTTGTACCTATTTTTTCATAACTTTTAAAACAGTGTTTATCTTTTTAGATGCTATTATCCAAAATGGACATTTCTCCCAGAGCCCAACATTTTTTAGAATGTGGTATTGAAGAATGTGAAAGAAACTGTGAGTTCTATTGTAACAATTGCCATTTAAAATTATGCAAACAATGTAAACGTGAACATTTGAAAAGTCTAACAAGAAAAAACCATGAGGTGGTCCTTTACCAGCAACGCAAAAGACAGCTTTCTGTGGAGAAATGTGAGTCCCATCCAACTAAAGATTTGGGCATGTTCTGTGAAGAATGCCAAGTTCCATTATGTTCTGTTTGCGCCACACAAAAAGAACATCAAGGGCATAATTTATTTACTGATCTGGAAACAATTTTTGCAGAAAAATATGCAGACTTTCAAGATGAAATCTTTAAAATCCAGGAGTACTTTCTTCCTACATTAGAAAATTTACAGAAAGAAATTAAAAAAGATTCCTCTGAAATCAAACAGATCATGAACAACATCAGAACATCCATGAAGACTGAAGGTGAGACCCTGAAAATCCTGGTGGACACAGTCACATCTGAGAACATGAAGCAGGTAGACCAGATAGAGCATTCCCTAACAGAGGATCTAAATACCCAAGACAAAATCATGGATGATTACATCACTTATCTTAATAACCTTGTCAAAGAACTTCATATATTCCTGTCCCCTGAAGAATCCCAGAAATTACTCTCGCAGAAGAAGCCAAAGATCCGATCCATACCAGAGACAACAAAACCAGTCACACCAGAATTTACTGCTGGTCAGTACAGCAAAAACGATATCACAAAACTGCTTGGAAAAATACACGCCCCAGACACTAAGGGAGAGAAGAGAGAAATTAAGTCCATGGACAGTGTTTACAATACAGCAATGAAACCTACACATAAACAAATGAATGAAAACAGAAGTAAATCTGACGTGAAACAAACATTGCCTCTACCTGCCTCTGTCGCCAAGGTCAGGGAGTTCAATGTACCAGGTGTTGAAAGTGTATACCATATCTCTATAGATCAATCAGATAGACTCTGGATAAGTGACAATAAGGGTAATCTTGTCCAAACAGATCTACAGGGGAATGTGATGCAGAAGATAGAAACCAGTGGTAAAGGTGAAGGTTACCACACAGTCACACAGGGCGGGGCTCTGATCTTTACAGACAAAGACAAAAATACCATCAATAGGATAACAAAGGATAATAATTTCACTGAAATCATTAAAACTGCAGACTTGAGTCCACTCAGCATATACTCCTCCCACATTAACGGTGACTTACTGGTGGGGATGTGGAAGATTGGAGAGGCTAAAGTCACCAGGTACAATAAAATAGGGAAAGAACTACAGAACATCCAGAAGGATAACAAAGGACAGGAACTATATAGAACACCACACTACATCACAGAAAACATCAATGGAGATATCTGTACATCAGAAATTAATAAAGGTGTAGTCGTGGTAAACAAATCTGGACAACACAGGTTCTCCTACAAAGGTCAGGGGTCAGTATTCCGTCCCTATGGAATCTGTACTGATGTCCTTGGTCACATCCTTGTGGTTGATGGACATTTTAAAAATAACACAGTGCACCTCCTTGATCAGGACGGTCAGTTCTTGTCCCTATTACTCACACAACAACAAGAAGTGAAGTATCCCCGTAGTGTTTGTGTGGATGATGAGAACAATCTGTATGTGGGACAATTTCTCACGGACACATTGAAAGTGTACAAGTATCTCCAGTTATAAGTATTGTGTCATTAACATGCATCATCCCACCTGTCAATTATTATTGACGAATCTACAACATATTGAGTGTGATAACGTTTATAAAATGATATTCTTTTTCTGCCATAACTTTGATTACTTATTCACCTTACAGTAGAATGATCGCGTGGTCTCTATTTTTGTTAATTCATATCAAATTGTTTTGAAATTGCATTGTTTAGAATCACATACAGGTATTTTAAGATTGACATAGAGTAATATAATTTCCAACTATCTCTGTATATTTTTATAGCTTTATCATACAAAAGTATTTTTGTTTCAATTTTGAAACAAATTTTTTCTGTTTATGGATAGTATAGCGTCCTGTTCCTAGGGATTTCAATGTGAATTTAATTTGTTTTGAAACACATCAAATTGCGTTTTTATGTTGTGTTATAAAAAATTTGTTCATAAGACAATTTAATAATAGATATTTCGCAGTGTTCCACATTATCATTGACCGTGGTTTGTGACGATGCTGAATTGAGGAACACATGTATTCATGTTGAATATATATATTTGATAAATGTAATTTTCCATAAGCGTTGGGAGTGAGAAAATAACTTTATTCTCATTACCTTTGGTGTTTATTAACAGCTGTGTCCCTCTCCTTCATTTGTCTCACAAAAAAGTTATATTAACGAAAAAAAAAAGAAATTCTTTTTCCTCGATTTCAATTTATTTATTGCCTCTAATAAATAGAAGCATTTAGAATGTAAGCGGCTCTGGGACGGGGGGGGGGGTGTCGGTCGGTTCGAAATATGAAATAAAGTTGGGGTACATTAGTCATTAAAGTTACGAAAGTAACTACGAAATCCCCGTCATAAAGGGCTTTCATGTATGAATAGGAAAAACATTAACATTTTGTCTTGTTTTTGTTAAGCGTATTTCGAGTGTCAAAAAAATTCTGATTTCTTTTAAAGAAAGCGCCTCCTCCCTCCAGAAAAATCCTTGTCTTGTTCCAGAATGAAGGCTTAATTAGTCTGACGCACCTATCATATGTCACATACTACATCTACTCATAATCAACGCATGCATTGTAGTGTCTGTTATTTAAAAATAAAATCGAGACTCAGTGATATATGTTACCATAATTAATTTTTAGTTGCTTAATTCATTTCATCTGGTTTGCCTACGTCACATTGACCTACGTCAAAAACGTATCATCCAGTAGATGTTATGTTAAGAATATGAACAATTTGAAGTCGTCTTTAAGGGAGAGATAATCTTGTTTTACGCGCTTCGCGGTTTATAAAGCATATACTGCACCAACCAAGGTTATACAGAATAATTTGGGTTTAATTCATTCCTTAAATAACCGTTTTGTATCATTGGCTGTGTAAGTGAGAGGACACGCAAAGCGGAACAACTTTCACAATCCTTGAGCTTGGTTGAAGTGACTCTGCCACCTTTTGAAAATTGTTTGGTTGCTCTCCTCGACGTAAACTGAAAATATTGGTTCGGTAGGGTGGAGAATTTTTTTTCTCAGATAATTTTAATTTCAATACTACTTTAAAAAATTCTCTTTTCCAAAGAACTGAGAAAATTAATTGCTTATTGGAACTTTAAAAACTTTTGCGTCGGGGTTTTTAGCAAGTCGATCGAGAGAGGGCAACCAAACACTCTTCAAGATGGCCTTATAGTCAATTTTTATTTATGCAAAATGACGCTAAGCTAATTAAATTCTACTCACAACGCATATACGAGGATCTTTCTTTTTCCTTTTGGAAGCTCAATTGAACTGAAGGCTCTGTTGAGCTTCTCTGATCAAAATTTGTACGTTGTCTGTCGTCGTCGTTCTTGATTTCAGAAACTTTCCACATTTTCAAATTTTTCTTAAGGACGTTCGAATCTGTGCTTTTGATTCGATTTTGGTCTATACCTTTTTTTCTAAAATTCTGCATCGTTTTAAAGTTTTAGCGTTGAATTTAGATTCAACAATGTAAATTAAACTATATCCATTGCAAAAACCGCAATTAAATTCCATTCAAGAAGGGTTAAGCCAGGGACTATATTTTGTGGCGGAAGGATTTTTAGAAGAAAATTATAAATTTATCCCTTTGAACTTTATACAGTACTGTTAATTTTAGATTCCTATTTCTCTGTGCTGGTTGCACACAAAGCTGTTTTTTTGCAGTGAAATGTGTTATGCGTGTTCTGAAATATCTATTATTTTTTTTAAATGAATTTTTTCGACGAATTATGACAAATATAGTAAATATATTCTGAAAGTCTGGGGAAGATTGAGCTAATTTTATCAGAAAATTGACATATTTTTTGTAATATCTAAAAGTTACATCATATACCCCCACTTTTGATGTTCTTTTCTGAATATTTAAGATAACTTTGACCTATCTTCTGAAATTCAGCAAAAGTTTAAGACTTTGAAATAATTTTCTTGCTTATTAAATTTTATGCCAGAAAAATCCCATTTTGTGAGTGCAGAAAGGTCAAAAAATTTATAATGCGTAGCAGTTTGAAACTTTTTCTTCGTCACAATTTTAAAGTGTCTTTTTTTCAATAGACTTATAGTTTATTTTGTTCCCTGCATTATTAGGATAAAAATATTACAGGGAAAACAATGAAGATGTAATTTTTTATTACGACATAGTTTTCAGTGCAAAAAGGTCATGTTTAATGTACTGTAGCTACAAAAGAAGCATATTGACCCCCATATTTTGATTTGGTTTTTAATTAAGCTTTGTGTGTAGAAACTAAAAATATACTGGACAAAAAAAGTTTAAGACTTTAAATATCAGGATCGAACTTCGTTAAAGACCAGTGGGTCAATTTAAACAAGCTTACAACGTATTTTCCTTCGGTGAAAGATTTGAAGGGATACGCCATCTTCCAAGGCGTATCCATGATGTAGTGAAATACTAATGATATATTTTAAAAATCTACCTCTCAAAACAACTGTGCCAGGAAAGAGGAAACTTAAAGTGAAGCATCCTCACTGAGTGTAGATTTAAGTTTGTTCAAATCCTGAGACCGTGGAAATAATGCGGTTGGGCAACAAAGGGACATCAGAGTGTAACATAAGAATATATAGAAAAAATCTCTTAAAATCTTTTTCTTTAGATCCACTCGGCCAGGAAAGATGAAACTCATGTAGAATCATCCTCAGGTAGTGTATATTCAGGTTTATTCAGATAATGACCCCTGGGGTAGGGTGGGGTTACAATGGACGATCAAACATTTACAGAGGAATATAAATATGAAAAATTAAAAATCTTCTCAATTAATATATACGTATTTATATGATTTTATCCAGAGTCTGGTTCTCTTAAGGTAGTCTCTATTCAAGTTAACTTTGTTTGTTCATATTATGACCCTGAATGTTGACTGTAACTAACATTCCCCGAAAACTAAAGGTAGATAATTTTTTTGCTTAATATTGCTGATGAAAAATGGTTGTAAACGGCCGCGAGACGCAGTAAATGGAGGGTCTGCTCTAGATTCGAGAAGTAAGCAGTTGATCCCTACGTTGCAGTCTCGAAACAAACGTGGGGCTTGGAGACTGGTTCCTCGGATGAGACCGTAAAAATCGAGGTTCCGTATCGCAGTAAGTGCTGGCACAAAGAAGACCCCTCTCTGCTCAATGTTCAAGAGTGCGGAGCATAAGACAAAACATGCTGCTCTCCATCGGCAAGTGGTGGCTTCTCCATATGAGTGAGGAATTCTCGAGAGGGACGTTAAACAATATATTATCAATCAATTAATCATGAATAAATTAAGGAGGAACAGGACCTTTTGCCGAAATATTCCTGTCAATGAATTTTTCCCTATTTTTTTTTTATATTACTACATGTAATTTGATATGTACTTAACATTTTAAAACGTTCATGTCATGGGATTTCTTGACTTATTTAAAAGATATCGCCCCACAAATACCGCCCTGTTTAGAGTTTGAATGGAGTTTAGATACTTCATGTTTACGGGCCCATAACGGAGTCTATAATGCGAATTTTTACGCACAAACGATAAATATGATACTTAACACTATATACTCAAATATTTCAGAATATTCATAGTGTTCAAATTATATGAAAGCAATTATTTTAATTTTATATAGCATTTCGGTGGGATAATTTCTGCATTTTTCAAGGCAGCTTCAACGACAAAAACCCCATTTGGAAAAAAATCTGTCAATGAATATTTCTAAATTTACGATTGAATGTCAGTCCTTCATAGTACATATAATTATCTAGTTCATAAATATCACAGGGTGAAGCTTACCTCAATATCGCACAGGACATCGTTGAATTTGACGTAAGCGTGATAAAAACGCTCCACGTTTGTATTTTCCAAATGCGGGAAATCAATTGTGACGTCACACGAAAACATAAACACTCAAAATTATCTAAATAGAGAGAATCTCTTCTACTTAACACGAAAAAATATTAATTAAAAAAAATCCGCTTCAGAAATTTATCATGATACATTGACTGTGACCTGTTAATTATGAAATAAAACTGATCATGACGGGTGCGTGTAATTGATCTCGCTGCACTGAGAATTAAAACACCACGTCTATGACGTCACTGACGTCAGACTGCAGGGTTAAGAGAAACAAATGTGTGGATCGGGCAACTTCACATTATCTATATGATGGCAAGGTTTTTAAAAAATTTTATTAATAATTTCTAATATTAAATGCTTAAAAAACAATTTTAGAATTTAGAATAAAATTACTCAAGAACTGTTGATTTTAACAAAGTTAGATATGTATATCATCACCGATTATGACGTACTATGTCTTTTTAGTCATGTGACATGTGCCCTGTCTCCCCTTAAAGTATTAGGTTGCAAATAATTTAAGGTTTCAGAACTTAAAAAAATATATTTTCATGGAGAAAAGTAAAAATAATTTTAGTATGCCAGAGCACGAATGTACTACTTAACGTCTTCATTGCAGTTTCCTCAGCAACTTCTCATTGCAGAAGATTGAAATATTAGCACATACTTTGCTGATGCATACA